GCTAAAGAAACTTAGCACAGCAAATAAAGTCAGAGTCATGGATGCCACCTATCAAATTACGCTAACGCTGCCACTTGAAGAAGATCCTGATCAAATGATGGCCGCCCTTTCAAACACTCTTCAAACTGGCGATAATCCTGGTTTCTTCCCTTTTGTTTGCCTGATGCTGCTTTTTTATTTTAGTTCTTTTTCCCCGTAATCTTCATCGCCATCGAAGTAGCACAAAAATTGTTAACACGAGAAACATGAATTTTAAAGAATATAAGATACGGAAAACGTGGATGGAACACGTATATATTAAAGAAATATAAGGATATACTTATAAACATTTTTTCATACACCTAAATAGGTTTTTTTTCATTGGTACATTCTTACATATGCCCGCACTTAATTTCTACTTGTTTAATTACTCAATAATAAAATAATCTACATGTTCAAATTTAAGTATCATTAAATATTAAATATTACTACCTCCGTCCCACTATGTTTGGACAAAGGGGTGTAACACAACTTTTAAGAAAAAGTGAAATTGTGTGGTTGGTATTGAATTGATAAAGTTTGAATAAAGTAAGAATGAATTGTAACCACCCAAATATTATCAAATATGTTGTGAGACAAACTAAATGGGATACATGAAAAAGTTAAAACAGGACAAAGTTAGGGGACGGAAGGAGTAGTACAATAGTTAAACATAAAATGTAATGCATTTCTCGCAATGCGTTGTTTTATGAAATATCACAATACTTTTAAGAAAATAACACAAAAAATCACTTTTAAAAACATTTTTTCCATCATAGAATCTCATTTAAAAGAAAGTATTGAAAATCCCAGGTTTTTGACACGCTAATTTTTTAGAAAAACGAGTTTCCCAATTATTCTTAGTTTCTGAAACAGTCCTTAAAGGTAAGGGGAATTTGAAGTTTCTGAGTTTCCGGCATGCTTCCGAGTTTCTGAAGCGTGGAAACATGAGTTGTGGGGAGTTTATGTGCTTCATAGATCGCTATTAGACACAAATGACATATAAAGGTAAGGGGAATTTGAAGTTTCTGAGTTTTCGACATGCTTCCGAGTTTCTGAAGCGTGGAAACATGAGCTGTGGGGAGTTTATGTGCTTCATAGATCGCTATTAGACACAATGACATATGAGCCAAACTTGAATAGAGCCATGACATAGCCAATATAGTTCCATAAATAGTCAGTTTATATGATAATAATTTACTGTGAAATCAAGATGCATATGATAATTTATTTCCCTAACATCCCATATTTTCCTTTTATTTGCCATTGTATCTTCCAGGTCCAAGTACTCTCATTTTTAAGGGTTTGCCTCAATGGTTTGTTCATCAATCTACCTCAGTACGCATCTTTCTTGAGACTATGGGTGTGGTCAGGTATTAACTTGATTTTCATATTGACACTCGTTGGTATCTTTGATAGTACTCCCTCCGTTCCGAAAAGGTTTGTCAAATTTCTTTTTTTGGATGTCTTAAAAAGATATGTCATTTCTTTTTAAAGTGAGGAAAATATGTGGCTAAAGTTAATTCTCTCTGCTCTGCAAAAATTTCAACCACACAGTTTTTACTTCATTAATCCACGTGAAAGTCAAAGTTGGTGAACCTTTTCGATACGGAGGGAGTATTATATTGTTGTTGTTGTTATTATTGTTGCCACTGCCGCCGACCCCAACACCACCACCACCGCCCCCACCACAACCACAGGTAGCGTTAGCTTCTAATACAGGGGTAAGCTTGCATACACCCGCCCCCTACCACACTATAGATAGTGTTTGCTTCTAATACAGGGGTAAGCCTACATGCATCCACCCCCTACCACACTATAGATAGCGTTTGCTTCTAATAGACGGGTAAGCCTGCATACATCCATAGTGTTTGCTTCTAATAGTCGGGTAAGTCTGCATACATCCATAGCGTTTGCTTCTAATACAGGGGTAAGCCTGCATACATCCGCCCCCTACCACAGTATAGATACCGTTTGCTTCTAATACAGGGGTAAGCCTGCATACATCCGCCTTCTACCACACTATAGATAGCGTTAAAATTGTATAACCAAAGAAATAATTTTATAACCAAATTGTAATAAAGTTAAATATAATATTTCCAATTAAATTGTGAATCTTGAGTCAAGCAAACTAGTAAAATACAGAGTATTATGCAAATAAATTATTAAGCTAAATGATAGTTTTGTATGATAACTTTTAAAGTTTAAACCCTAGGTTAATAAATACAGTCATAAGTAATAACTAATAATATTAACTTAAAAACAGATAAACATCAGATTGACCGTAGATTAATACTCTGGCGGAATAACTTAATTTGATATAGTTTTTTGTATTGTATAACTATTAATACTAGTTTGATATAGTTCTTTTTGTTTTCCAATTACGTAGTACGGAGTACTATTTTTCTAATCAACAAAAATATTTTGGCAAAAATCGAAAAAACCGAAACAAATTGAACCGAACAAACCGTGGTTCCAAAATTTTTAACATAAAACCACACCGAAATTTTTACTTTGATTCTACATTTGCTTTTAGGTGAAAATCGAACCGTTTGAACTGAACTCACCCCTAGTAGTACTTTCTCAAGTCTAAAAGCGTTAAATAAAACTTTAATTCAGTTAATTAGTTATAAAAAACGGATGATGTTAGGACCTAGGGATGTCGACTTATTTCACTATTATAAGCAGAAGATTTAAGATGGATTGAAGATGATATCTTTTTATCCTTGATAGGCATTTGGATGTTGAGGATGATGGAATCTCAGTTGAGTACGAAGATTTTTACAAAGCATTAAATTCGTTATGCGGATGTTCTTTGCAACTGGTAATCTTAAATAATTACTATTACTGTTAATGAGAAATATGATTATATATTTGTCAAACATAATATTAACTCTGGGTAATTTAATAATGTGCAGGAAAGGGCTGTAGAAGGTCCGTCTCTTATTGACTATGTTCTGACATGGAAGGGTTTGAGGGTTTGTGATGACGATGATCCTACTTTCATTTGTCCACTCTTGAAGAAAGAATATAGACATCCTGGATTGCAGTGACAATTAGTAAATGGAAAGGAATTAGATTCCATTGGAGAATATACTGCTCTGATTTTGATGATGATGATGATGATCTATGCTTTTTAATTAAATCCATGCAGGCTTTTAAATGAAAGTAAAAAAAACATTAGAATGCTTTGCCAGTCTGAATTTATACGATTTGAGTGATTTTTTGGGTGTAGCGAATCTAATTAAAGTAAGATTAGGACAGGGTCTTGAAAGTCCTAATGATTGGGGAGAGTTGAACCTTCCACTGAAAATATATTCTTGGACTTGAGATCTCAAGAAGTACTCAAATATATACCCGCACGGCCGCACACATTTAGGCTTTGTTTACAAACATTTGTGTTTAAAAAAGCATTTTTGGAAAAAGTGATTAGTAAAAGTTGGTAGTGTTTGGTAAAATAAGTGCTTTTTGTATAATAGAAAAAGTAAAAAGTAGATTCTACATGAAAGCCGAGAAAAGTAAACGTTGGTAGTGTTTGGTAAAATAAGTGATTTTTTAAGCCAAAAGCTGGGATTCCTGGGAAGTGTTTTTTTAGTGTTATAAAGATTCAATCAAAGATAATTCCTATAATCAAGTTTTGGACTTTTGGCCTAAATCTCATTTATTTTGTTCTGTATTATACTAGTATTTTTACCCGTGTTGTGCACGGGATAAAAGCATATTCAAATTCTCCGGCACAAGTTAACATATTCTACTTTAATTTTGAAATATTAAAGTAAAATTTTATTGCACAGGCCAGTCCCGGCCCGTTCCTGACCTGATATTGTTTAGGCCAAGCCCGGCCCATTCCCGCTACAAACTCAGGTTGGTACCGAGCCTAAAATTTTTAGTCCCGAGCCCGCACGGCCCGGTCCCAGGCCATCCCTATCCTAGAGTGGTAGCTATGTAAAACTTATATTTTATATCGGTTTCTTAGTTCTTAAATCGTACTCCCTTCGTCCCTAATAAAATTGCCAAGTTTGACCGGCAAGGAAAATAATAAAGTAAAACTGTTGATTGAGGTTTATGCAGAGAAAAGAGAGTGGACTAGAATTACAAATTCTTTATTTAAAAGAGAAAGTGGCAAATTAGTGGGACATTCAAAAAAGAAAAATTGACAACATTATAAGGGACGGATGGAGTAATACTATTTCTAGGTAGTTGCAAATTAGTAGATTTTTTAATTTTAACAATTTAACACAAACACTCCGTGCATAATAACGTTTCAACAGCATCTCAACTTTAGTCCCACAAGATTTTGAGACCAGCTAGCATGAATTGGATCGATACATGGTACAGGAACCAAAAAATACATCAATCAATAGTCAAATTTACTCAACGATTGATATTCTTGAAAACCTTCCTCTTGAAAGTATGTGTTGTGTATACATAGGTATTTACACATATATTTTGTGTGTGAGGTTGAAATGATGAACTCCATATATAATATTCATATTTCAATAACACATACTACCTATGTCCATAATTATTCCTTATAGCTAGTGGTGGAGCTCATTTGTTCAATTATGTGAACATCCAAAATTTTGAAAATAAAATATAAAAAATACATGTATTAAATTGATGTAATAATTTATGTATTGATTTTTATGTAATATTATTTCTTGCTCCTAACCTTATTTGTTGGATTTATACGTTGGAAAAGTTACATTTCTCAATTTGTGGACCAAACAATATTATTGTATAATAGATAAATAATTTTGAATATCCTATATTTTGTTGCAAGATCCGCCACGGCTTATAGTTTTGCTAAAAGTAATTTGCACCTGGAATATTACTTTAAAATTTGTGGGATTACAGAGAAGAGAGCAATAGTAAAATGTTTTTTCAGCAACATTCAAACCCAAGTCCCAATTTTTTTTGGGGTGGCTAATAATAAAATGTTTTTCCATTGAAATAAAATTATTTTAAGAAACATGACTAAAGTTACCATAAGCATAGAATAATGATCTCTTAAATATAAATTACCGTGACAAAAGTTGCATAATGCTTTCTAGGGGTTAATATGGTCCGGTTCCGAACAGGCCAATCCTTGAGACCAGTACCGTGTCACCCCTCGCTTCAATTACACGCCATTTCCATTACTTAGTTGATTTAATCAATAAAAAGTTGTTGATAATCAATCGTAGGTAAACATAAAATTCCATTTTCCCCTTCTACAAGCTATCTAAAAATTTAGATCAAAAGCTTATGAATGAGCCAATGCATAACAAGTAGGAGTGGGTTTCTCTTTATGCTAATTTGCATCCCCAAGTCTTGCACATTTTCTTCAACCAAGTGTTTACTTCTCTTCTCACACCAATGTCATTTGCATACCTACTTACCATATTCACCCCCATTCCCAAACTCAAGCCAACCGGAACAGTTGGGTTCAATACGGCTGCAAGACCCATAGAGCCTAGGCCTAGTCTGCAAGCCACTTGATAAGCTTTTGTAGGATTGATGATGTATCCTGTTTTACAGTATTTGGCAAAATCTTCACAGTTCCTGTTAAAGAGATCATACTTTCCAAATCCGTCGTGAAGCTGTCCATGGCCCTACGGATAACAGTTTCTGGTGGATCAGATTCTGCAGTAGTGCATGTACCCCCACGGAGTTTTGCAAGTAAAACCAAAGATCTTTGACCATACTCAAATCTATACAATAATCCATTCCCGAGAAAGCAATCCAAGCAAGATAGGAAGACTCCGCTACTCTTATGGAATCCACAATCAGGAATGTCCTGATTTGTGCATACAGTTGGGCATATTGAACTAGAGGTACAGACGGCAAAGAGGCGTGTAGTTGCATCTGTACTGCCTTCGGTTGCTGTAAAATGAACCACTTTCTTGCCTCCGACATATATTCCTATAGAAGAAGCCATCCCACAACAGCACAAGATATGGAATCAGAGTAATGAATATTGGTCTGGTGGAATGCCCTTGTATTTAAATATGTATATTTCTAGATGGGTAAACTGAGCAGCATAGGCACAGTTCTAATTACATGTTTCTACTTTCATTGAATTAACTTGTCCTGTAATTATGGCATGATTGTCTTGTAAGAAGACTCAGCCTTTGTAAGTAACTAAAGTATTACTTCGTATTATAAACTCTTCAGAGTATAATTTTCCTTAAAATGGCCTGTTCAATCCTGGAAAAGAATTAGCAATTCTTTCTTAGGGACGTAGTTAATCGTAGTTGTAATAAAAAACAAAGATAGGTTATATTTATGCATATAACACTTAGTATTACAAATTGGAATGACATTACAAATTGTAAGTCTATAAGTGATCAAACGAGGAATATTCGACCAGATTATGTTTATACGTAGTACTCCCTCCATAACTTTAAAATCTTCTCATTTCAAAAGTAGATAGATTAAGAATAGTGAAAGATGATATGAATTATTGAGGATATGACGGAAAAATAGTGGAATAATGTGATGGAATATAGGATAAATCCAAAAAAAGTACGTAGTTGTAATAGTGTACGGAGTATTATTTTAAGAATTATTAAGGGTATGATGAGAAGATTTAGAAATGGGAAGATTTTTGTGTTACAGACGAAAAGGAAAGTGTGAAGATTTTTAAGTTACGGAGGAAGTATATAAAAGGAATTTGGTGGCTTCCACCAAGAGAGGGTCCCACCAAGAATCCCAACACAGGGCTATATAGCGGGCAAATCTGAAATCTTACCCTCTTTATTTGGCAAGAGGCCAGTCCCAAAACTATCTGATTCTTAAAACTGGTGCAAAAGTAGAAGTTTGAGTGTTTGGGTTAAAGTGCAAAAGTACTTCGGGTGCTCTAATTTACTCCGAGAATCAGCTCTTTTTAGGAGCTGGGGAAACCAGCTTCTGAAAAATTGATTCTGATTCTGCTTTAAGAAAGAAGAAGCAGAATCAGTTCCAAACACCCCATAGAAGACATTTTGACAAACAGATTATGTTCATATATCATAAACACAATGAGAAAACAAAAGCAGTGACAATGTGAATAGAAAACTGGAAAGAAATGTAACAATGGAGTTGAGAAAAGAGCAGAAACCATGATGAGCGTACACAAAGCCAGCTCTCCAAGTGTAGATATGGTCGCCGGCTGCTAATTCGCTTCTCTCGACTCTCTGTGACAGGAAACCCATCCTCTATCTCCCTCCTTGGCTCTGTCACTCTATCCTCCAGTCACCTAACAGAAATATATATCAATCGAAACAAAATAAAACAAAGGAAAGCATCTACTCTAATCCGTGTTTATTTACAATGCATGCGTTGAAGTTTTTATTCTTTCCCTACAAAATAATTTAAAACGCCCAGTGATCGAATGAAGTTCCCAAGGTTGCCGTTTCCTTTACCGCATTTTGGCGGCAGTAATAATTACCCTCTGCCATCTTCGAATTGAAGTTCTCCATGGCTGTCCAAGTCCCTGCTGCATTTTAGATCTTTTAAAATGCTAAGACTAGAGCCCGTTTATAATGTTACAAGCCCAATTGAATTAAATGATACTCCCTCCGTCCCATAATTATCTTCATTCTTTCCTTTTTGGTTTGTCCCAAATTTATCTCATCTTTCCTTTTTTAGCAAAGGATTTGTGGTTCACAACCATTCTTACACATTTCTCTCTCCTCTGCACAACTCTCCACCACACATTTCTCACTTTCTTAATCTCCGTGCACAGTTAAAACCGAAGTTAATTCTGGGACGGAGGGAGTATAATTAATAAAATTTGACGTTGAATTGGACAATTCTATAATTTCTATTGAAATATAGAAAAATTATATACAAAGTACGGAGTATATAATACGGAGTAATATACTAATATGTAGTATATTATTTTAATAAAATAATGAAAAATGATATAAAGCATAAATGAAGGCCTTTTTATTTGAATATTACTAAAAAAAAGACAAAAGATAAAAATGTTACATCTTTTCCAAAATTCTAAAAATGTGACTATTAACCACTACAATGCAAAGTGACTTCAATGAAAGTGACTTCGACGTCACAGTGACTTGCTGCCACAGTGACCAGCCGCCACAGTGACCAGCCGCCACAGTGACCAGCCGCAACAGTGACCAGCCGTCACAGTGACCCGCCGCCACAGTGACCCGCCGCCACAGTGACTCCGATCACAGTGACTCCGACCAAAGTGACTATACACCCACCAATCGTAGTGACCCCGAACAAAGTGACTGACCGCGTAACTCTACCACCACTGTCCACCACCCGCCTGCCACCGCCGCCTTCTGCCAATCTCTGCACCTCTCCAGCTGCTACCGCCGCCAATGATTAGCCACCACCATCCAGACCAACCGCCCCTTCAAGTGACACCCTGCCCTTGCTTCTCACTGGCGGCCAGCATCCCCAGCGCATTTCCCAGCTTCATCTCCGGCCTGATTCCCCTGCCACCGCCGGCCCTAATTCCACTAGCCACTACTGCCCTACCTAGCTCTCTCCCCAACCCCCTTTACTCCGCCAAACCAAACCTCGACGCCTTACACCGCCCGCATCACCGCCGTAGTCGCAAAATCCATGTACGCCGCAATTAGACAAAAAGAGTAGAATAAGAGATGTTAGTGGTGGAGTTGGAGTCGGAGGCGGCGACGATGATAGAAACAGCGTCGATGTCAGCGGCATTGAAGATGCAGGCGGAGATGGAGCTATGAGATGAGAGATCAGCTATTGGCGGCCGCTTTTTTCGTAAATTAAACCTGGGAGCTGATGAAAAGAGAAGAGACAAAGTGATGGAAGAGAAGAGGCGCAGGGGATGGGAGACGCAGAGATGAGCGCAGAGACGGATGGGTTAGTTTTTTTGGAAAAAGTAAATTGAATCACGTTTTGGGGCCATGGGGGAGAAGGACGGGTCAGTTTTTTTGGAAAAAGTCAAATATGTCATATTTATTGAAATCAAAACTTGATTAGTTATACGATGGCAATTTTTTCATAAATGAAAATGCTCTCAATTTAGAGCAGAGCAATAACTTTAAATTTACTTATTTAATTAAGTTTAAAATTAAACTTATTACTTAGCTTTTTAGCCACAAAATCAGGTTATAATCTAAACTAGGAGGGTGTTTGGAAGAGTAAAAATGGGTTGATCAGACTGAAAATTCATAAAATAGCCAAACATCACTTCATTTGGCTACTTTGGCTGATTTCTATTATCAACCAAAAAAGTAGCTCGTGAGTCATTTTTGAGCAGATTGTTAAATGTGAGCTGCTTTGGTACTGTTAAATGTTAAGAGACGGAGATATCCTTATCTACTGGGCAAAATGTCATCCTCGGCCCCAACTAATTTTTGCAATATCTTCTCCCTATATCCTCCAACTAATTTGGTAAGCTAGCAGAGCATATCTCTTTCGCCAAGAGGGGTGTTTTCGTCGTTTGTCAAATTCAAGCTATACATTTGATTAGCTAAACCTTTCTTGTATTAGGATCTGGTTTGTACCTTTGATTTTGAATATAAAATTTGTAAAGAAAAGATTTCTGGTTGTCGCTTTCTGGGTATGAAAAGATTTTTTGTGCTTTATTCCCCACCAGAGTGATTTTGCGTTTATGCTTTTTGTTCTCAGTCTTCCTATGATATGTGTTGTTGTTGGTAATTTTGAGTATTTAAGTACAAAAAAGGAATAACCTTTATAGTAATTACACATTCAATCACCCAATTCAGTCTATATATTACCAGACATTCTTTTCAGTCTTTTCAGCCATTGTAGCCATTACCAAACATGCCCTAGGTGTGGGTTCGTTTTGAAAGTTCAATTTTTTCAATTCGATTTTGATCTAAAACCACATACTGAGTCGAAGTAAAAAAATTGGTTTGATTTCAATTCGGTTCCACATTCAAAATTTGAAATCATGGTTTGATTGGTTCGATTTGTTTCGATTTCTTCGGAGTTTTACTAAGAATTGTCATTCCATTTACAATTGATATAATAGTTGGAGGGATCAAACACATTACATAAAAAATGTAAGCATACTAGAACAAATAAAATAAAAATGAGAAGAAATAAATGTTTTGAATTATATGAGTATGTGAGAGAAATAAAAGTGTATATATTCTCAATTTACATTGTTTGAAAATAGTTAAAGAATATATATTGCTGAGATGAATATATAATTATTTTATCAATATAAAACTTTAAGTTACTAAAAAATAAAAGTTAATTACTACTAACAACCAAAAAATATATTATCATGCAACAAATTGCAACTTACATATATAAAAACATAATAAATCAATATAGCTACGTTATTACAAACAATTAATGTGTAAATGCATTTATAAACTAAACTAAACATAACGCAAATACTATTTCTCTAGCACAAAAAAAATCAATGACTACTGACGATATTAAGATTAATACGTAGTACTTAATAATAAAAATAAATAAAATTTCATATTTTAATTAGTTGAGTTTGTTCGGTTCGATTTTGAAAGGTAAAAACCAAAAGTGAACCAAAAACCTACGATTCAGTTCGGTTTTTACATTCGGTTTCGTTTTTTAGCGGTTTTATTTTATTTGTTCACGATTCGATTTAATTTGATTTGGTTTTGATGTTTCGGTTTTTGGACCCTGCCCTAGTAATTACTACTAGTGAAAAAAAGACATTCTATGTCGATTAAAATGGGCTTTTTATAACAGTTGGGGAACCGACATAGTATCAAGAGTTATAGAAAGTCGGAGGGTTTCTATAACGGGTGGATTGAACCGACACGGAAGGGTTTTATATCGGTTGGTGATACAACCGTTATAGAAAGCCTGCTTATAATATTATGCTTTTACGTCAGGCTGTTCACAACCGATATAGAAAGTCACTAAAATTTCAAAAAAACAGCTTATAAAAAGTTCAAATGTGATTCAAAATTAAAACCAAACAATGCACTAAACGTATTTCCAAATTTACTCTTCAATACACACAAGAAATAATAGTTGTCATATCTGTGCATGTCCACCATGACAATCCAGCAAAAAGCTATCTGGAAAATATATTGACACTTTCGCCCACAAAAACTGCCACTACATATTCAAGGCCACAAACATAAACATGAACCAATATCTCTAATTTGCCGTTGCACCAATAGAACATGGGACTTGCACTAAAACCTTAGCATCCCGAGAACGAGCACCTTAAACCATCATAAAAGACAATTATGAGTTGAAAACAAGGTGGAGTCAAAATTCAAAATAAAGAATAGTTCGATTGAGAGAATTGATTTAATAATGGAAAAGCTTGTACCTCTATAAACATGGAAACATCTTTTTTCACAAATATTCGCATACTTCTTTTTTATAGTGTGTTTCATCCCTGCGAGGGAAGCCGAGGTAAGGAAAACATATGCATATAGACCTGTTCTAATTTCAATAGGATTAAATGTTCCAAATATGTTTAGAAATATATAGCTCTAACCTAAACTAGCTGTATGGCGCATGCCTGAGTCGGGAGATCATTATACTTGTCGGCAAGGTCAAAGTCTGTCATTAACCTGCTCGTGTACTTAATTAAATTATTAAATCCAGCCATCAGGCTCAAATAACATGCTAAACAGGGGTTATGAATCACCAACAACATCTCAAAACTTGTTATTCATCTTGGAAGAGGGTGGGGGTGAAATGAAATGCTTTCAATGTGTGATAGACTTTCATGTTGTTTCGTAACATGAAAAATAGATGCATGAACCCTTTACTAACTTTTAGATAAAAAACTTTCCTTGTAGACATCCTGAAAATTAAGGCATTAAATGTTAGTAAAAACGTATAATAAAATCATTTTATATATGCATCATCACTTTTACCTATAATGTAAAGAGTCCATACTACCTGAGACTTCGATTAAAACCTATTTACCTACTATGATAATCACTGCATTTATCATTTAAGTGTTTGTGTAAGGTGCGTAATAAATGGATCAAATGAGAACCTCTCTTTTTTATAAGCATTTTCTCATAAATGAGAACTTCCAAAATCTCTTCAATTGGCTCACCACAAGAAATTCCACTTAACAAACTGCAACAACACTAGGGTATGAGGTTAAAGTTAAGCAAGAAACCGATAACTTGTACTTAAGAATGAATGAATACACACACACACATAAATACTTATATGTCTATACGACTATACATATATAAATTGGTCCTTCAACGAAGGTCCCAAAATTAGCCCAAAAGTACCTATACAGGTTGTAATCTCTTGCTTCTCCACTAGCAAGGACCACCAGCTTCCTATCCCAGAATATCTAGTGTCCAGGTTCCTTCAATAGAAGAACAAGAAACTGAGCAAGCAATTAGGTTAAATTATAAGTATTGAGCTTTCTGTTTTCAAATCATTTTTTTATTTGTAAAACATGAATTAAGGGAGCAGTTTAGTTGTGCATACTCTTTTGTCTGAAATCTGAAAGACGTAATCATCAATCCAGTTGATTGCAAATCTATTTTTATTTATTTGGAACTGGAAAGAGAGGGAACTGGAGAAT